GTGTCTGCGTTTCAGCATTGGGTCACTCCAAGGTTATTTGTGGTTTCCCTAGTGCGCAAACACCTGATGTAAGTGAAAAGAGCATCACTCCCAAGGTAGGACCACTAACTAGGAGTTGCTAGGAGACCGTGATTGGTGTGTGTGTGTGTGCCTGTGTGTGCGTGCTAGTGTATATCTGTATGTGTGTCTTTATTCAGGACCCATCTGGTTGTTTAAAGAACATCATATGATCATAGTGACAGGTGTTCTGTAGTCTGGGAGGCTTACTGACCAGAAAAGGAAGAGAAAAAAAAAAGAAACCAATCTAAACTTTTAAAAAATACATGATATATTCACACACACATTTTGATTTGAGTGTTTCTTCATCAGATGAAGTATTAAAGCTAAAGAGAATTAAAATGTATCAAATCAAATTTCTCATATTCTCTCATATTTGAGAAAAACAAACTAGAAAGTGAGTTCTCTTAGAGGTCCAGTGGGTAACATTTGGAGGCTCTATTGACCGAAATAGAATATAACATTCAGTTATGTTTTCATTTGTGTATAATTATCTGAATATAGGAATCGTTTTGTTTTCGTTCCCTAAGAATGAGCAGTTTATATCTGCAGACGCCGCGGGTCGCCTTCTCATTTTGAGCTGCCATGTTTCTACAGTATCCAAAAAAGGACAAACCCAACACTGGCTTTAGATTGGGGCGTTTTTTGCGTGTTTTGCAGCCACCGTAGTTTCTCCTTTGCACTTGGAAGGTGAGGGGGAAACGACAGAGTTGGGATCTACAACTACACCTCTAGATGCCACTAAATCCTACATACTGGCCCTTTAAAAGAGTATTCAGCATTGAACTCCTGTGACATTGTTGGACATGAAAAACAGAGATATCGTCTTGTATTCCACCCATTCTTCTTCCTTGCTGAAATCTGGTGCCTACATTGCCCACAATGTAGCTTGAGATGTGGGTGTATCATGTTAATAGCAGCTAACGTTGCCTCGAGTTGCTAGCCTCAAGCAGAGATGAGGAGCAGGCTACAGAGGCCTGATGAGTTCACTTCTTTCAAACTCCTCAAACTTTTAGTTTTCAGCCCCAACGGACTCTGACTCAAGTGACATCACTTGAGGCAATTTATCAGATTTTGGGCAGTTCCCTCTGGAGCCACAAAAGGCTTCATACAACTTTTTTCACATATGCAGCAGTACTCCCAAGACCAATAAACAGACCTTCATGTGTAAAATCGGTGGAGTTCCCCTTTAAATATATTCATCATATACATATGAGCTAATGGGTTCAGTGTGTGTGTGTGTGTGTGTGTGTGTGTGTGTGTGTGTGTGTGTGTGTGTGTGTGTGTGTGTGTGTGTGTGTGTGTGTATGTGTGTGAGATTATAGCCTGGCCATCTGGTCAAAGCATTTCACGATGGAGAGATAAATTATTTCTGATACTGTACAACTTGTTTGGGGGCCTTCCCAAAGTTCCCAAACTGATTTATGGGAGAGCATGACTCCTGCACAAGTTGACTTTTGCGTCATCCTTTTCGACAAATAGAGAGAGAAAGAAGTGGGGGAGAAAGGGATGGGAGGGAGGAGGCCCATCCTGAACGTTGTCCAAACTCTGCAGGCTGCCACGATGAAGGGTATATTTTTTATCAAGGTCTGCCAGCTAGGCTACTCTGACAGTTCAATCCTCTGCCAAAATACAAACACGGCGAGAGTGAGAGTGAAAGAGAGGGAGAGTATAAAGAAAGATGGAGAGTGACAAAAAAAAAAAAGATAGCAGCGGAGAGTCTTGTCATCTGATACTGACACTCAGCGTTTTACACAACTTTTCAGATTCAGTGAAGGCACTCCGGGGAGCCGAATGATTCACAGAGCAGATTTCTATATAAACTCTTAAACAGATCACAGAAATTATATAATATTCACATACAGCCAATTCGGAATTAAGTCAGTTTTCAAAAGGATGTCTAATTTTACATAGCATGGTCAAGTCACTAACATCTTTGCAGGAAATGAATGCAGCAATGCCCCGTTGTGCTACATTGTGTAGTGTGTACAGGTCTATTAGCCAGGACAGGCTTTTCTATTGTTATTGATGCTCTTATTTAGTTAGACATAATTGAATTCCAAAATACAATATCACTCATTCATCATGTTGTGGGCTGACATTTCTATCAGGTTATTGATGCACATTCAAGTGAATTTAGTAAAGTGTAAAAGCACATATAGATGTAGAAAATGCGGAGTTGGCTAAATATGATCGCGATTTTTTTGTTCGAAGCACAGACCTGTGAATTATAGAGGCTGAAACCAAATGTAATCAGCTCCACTGCCTACACGTGTAATCCTTATCCATTTGTGAAATAAACGTTTGGAGCTTAATCATACTAAGTCATGTTTCAAGCACGGCTGACACTCTCTCTGACCATCGCTGAATCACTGATGAACCTCTGCTTTAAATCACTCACACCAAGCGAGAGAGAAGGAGGAAAAACAGGAGTTTGTTATACAAGATCTCAGATTCTAACCAGTGAAATATAGGCTGCTACATTTTGTTTTCAACCTCTAACAAATGCCACGTAGTTTGTGTTTCATCTTTGACTCAGAAGCTGTTTAACAAATTCAGCAGGCCCTTTTTTTTCCCTTTGCCCTGGTGCAGTGTCGATTAAAGGCCTGTGTCATTTGATATCAAGAGCCTGTTACACCAGCGAATGTCGTACTGGTGATGTCTTTCAGTCTGGCACTATTCATGATGTCATGGAAAGGGGGTGGGGGCTCTCTTCTAAAACACCTGCGCAGGAAAAAAAGGGTTAAAGCTCATCTCAAAGATACGAAAAAGAGAGGGAAGGCCCTGCAAGGACAAGCTATCGATCCTATCCTGGGTGTACTGCCAGTGTTTCATACAGAGGTTCATAATTCCTCTGAATCGTACATCTCTTTCTCCCTCCCCTTGTCTTCTGGCCTCTTTCTTCTTCCGTTGCCCTAAAATGTGACCAGCGATGTGAATTATGTAAGCTAAAATGCGTGTCACTCACCTCTGCAGTGTGAATTACAGTGTCCTAGCTTGCTTTGAGCTGATTATACACATCTGTTCCTGTGTTGGCAGTACAATGGTGTTAGTTACTTCAGTGGTTTCAAAAATTAGGTGCAGGGACCTTCGGGGTTCTTGAGGATGTTGCAGCAGGTCCCCAGCAGAATGAGGGATCGTTCAAATTCACATTTCTTTCATGAGGATCAAAATTGGCCACCGTACATGTGAATTACTTTAGTGTGAGTTTATTAGGAGCAAACAACATGCTGCGCCTGTAGCTTCTTCGGGTTTGCTCGGTTATGTGCTGTCGTTAATTTTGATCCTCACCTAAGACGTTTTCTGCAACCTGCCAGCACCTGACTGCTACAACTAGCTGTGCATGCAGGGCTTAATTGAGATTTGTTTCTCTTCAATAGAGAGTGGGTACATCTTGTCTATGGGTTGTGACCACGTCAACTGGAGAGTAATTGATTTTTGTTTGCTTTATTTGAATCATTTTTAGGAGGCCTAAAGAGGTCCATCCAGTAATTCATAGGTTAAAAAAAATAGATATTTCAGCAATATAGCATTGTACTTCCATAAAGTTGGGGTACTCACAAGAGACAGATTAAAGAGAAAATCACTCTTGACTTAGCTTCAAGCCTCTTTCACCTCTGACCACACCCAGCAGTGATGTCACGGTGTACTGACACATCCCGGAGTACACTTCAACATCACTACAGCAATTACAGCAAGGTGAGAAACTAAACCACTGGAGGTCACCAAAAACAAGAGGTTCACAAACTTCATGAGGTGTTAAATTAGTCTTGAAAAAATCAAAGCAGCCGTGGCCTGTAGTGTAGGTCAATCTCCAACACTGCAGGAATGTACATTTCCCATAATGCAATTCAACAGTGTTTTTCGTTAGACTCCCTTTGTGCTTTGTTCAAACCCCACACTGCAAGTCAAGAGTTTCTGTGTCTAAACTGTCATTTTACAGTCCAAATACTCCTGGTGAGTAAACTGAACTTCATGTGTAAAATCAGTAAAGTGTCCCTTTAAAAGAGCACATATAAACAAACATAAACACGGTGTAGCATAAGAAGTTTTTTCTGCTTTCCTATCCTGTTGGTTATCTTATGCACCACTGAATTACCCCAAAACAGGCAATGTTTTGCAACTTCGTGGACTACCAAACCATGGAAATCTTAACAACAACAACAACAACAACCACAACAACAAAATCAGCTGAAACTCACAAAATGATCAATGTGAGTTAAGTGGCGTTCTGTGAAGGGAAAGTTAAAAGGCCCTGCTCCACATCAGCACCATGGACAGCACACCACTCTGCTGCAGGATGGATGCATTTATTTACAGTTTGAATAATACACTCAGATCCACAGATAATCCTGTGCAATAATTCTATAGATCATTAATATTGCATATACTGCAGTTAATATCTAAAAACAATATTATAGGGGAATGCCAAACAACAGCATTATAGCAGATAAATTATACAATAAAGTAGGATATGGTCACCATTCGCTGCATCTACAACTATAAGTCAGTAAGAGAAATATATTTTTTATTGATGCAGGGACAACTGTGAGTTCACCCTCCAAGTAAACAGTGGAATGATTAAGGGCGAGAGTAAAGCAATACAGAGTCCCCGTTTCTCCGTGTTCCCCCGCTGGTCCTTTAAGCAGGGTGCAGACCGGACCTGATGGGGAACAGTTTGGAACAGGAGCGGAGAGGGGAAGTTGCACCGCCCCGGTTCAGACAGCAGGGCTGGAGCAGATAAAAGCTCAGATAGTGATTGAAAGTGATGGTAAAAGGATTTAGCCTGGGCATTAACTGAGAGAGGGAGGGAGAGAGGGAGAGAGAGTGAGAGAGAGACAGAGTAAGAGAGAGAGCGAGAGAGAGAGAGAGGGAGGGAGGAGGAGAAGGAGGGAGGGTGATATTTTCCATAAAGCCTTTTTTTTTTTCCTCTCTTTCTTTTCTGCCCTTGAGCATCCCGGGTAAACCCGAGCTTGTAAAGTAGGAAGAGGAGGAGTAGAGGGGGGATGAAGGGCGGGCACAAGCCTTTCCTCAAAGTCAATATTTTATACTTTTGATACTCCTTGACGCTGGATTTCAGTCCTCTTTCCCCAGCCGTTTCTAGATCTAGGACACCGATCTACCGTGCGCAGAGATCCACGGTGTGATAAAAAAAAAAAAAGTATCCGGCAAAAACAAACAGCGAGCCGGGCAGGCAGATAACCGGAGTACAGTGAGGACCGCGGCGGGGACTGAGTACAGTGGATGGTCGGGGGGATCTTTTTCTTTTTGCCTAAAGAGGGAGACGTGCACGTACTCCGACGCCACACAAAGTGCTGACCTGTCTCACGGATGCATTTTTAGAAGTAAGTATCTGACATAATCTCGCAACGCAATGCATTTTTTTGGCTATTTAGCTCTTTGAAGTCTGCACCGAGAAGCTGCTCTGAGTTTCCCAGAATAAAACCGGACCACTCCAGGATAATCAGACAGGGGGTGAGAGGACTTTCGGCTTAATTTACACCAATTTAGACAAACGAAACCAATGCAATTCATGTGTGAGTATGCAATATCTATATAGTGTGAGCGATGCTCCGCGGTGGGATGCACTACTACTGACACACCCCTACAAAGACTGTCAGTGCCGGGAAATAGCTTTGGCGACTTCACTTGCCAACTCAAGTCCACAGGGTTGTGTGGGATAGGTTGTACGAGGACCAGGCTTCTGTCAGTGTGGGATGACAGTCGGATTATGATCAGTGAGGGCACACTGCAAAAAATGTCAACCATATTTATTCATGTATTCATGTATTCAGTTTTAAAATCGAATTATAGTTAAATGAAGTGAATAAATCCGGCAACAACTACTCCCAGTGCAGTTTCTATTGCTTAAAGTTTATTATTAAATTAATGACAGCGTGACAGAATAATATAAAAGGCCCTAATTCTTAAACTCCCAGAAAATGACACATGATTCCAGCAGAATCTTAAAAACAAGTTCATTTGTGAGTATAATTATCTCTCCTTTTTGTGCATTATCGCATATTTTAAGAAGATACAGGCTATTAAATGTCTCTTTCGCATTGACATTACGCAATGCAATATTTAAAACATCTGTAGCCTACTCTCAATCTCCAGAGTAATAGGTGCAATTACAACTCTTGCACGCACAGGCTGCACCCGGCAGCAGCACGTGTTTTTACGCACAAGGTTATCCACACAATGCGGCGCCTCTTAGTGCGTTTTAATGTGCAAACTATTCATATTTAATATGTAGCCGAATGCAACGCAGATTAGAGGCGGGTTCAACTAAACTTGCCCGCCTTATAACCAACTTGCTGTGCCACACATTCACTTAAAAAGTTCTCATAGTCTGAAGACGAATGAGATGTTTTTTTCCCTTTCCAAGCTAAATTACTGCCAATTACTACAGCATAATTAAGGAGTTAATTATGCTACAAAGTAAGAACGCAATCCACCCATCCACATGTATATTTCAGAGACTGATAATAAACTTTTATTCATGCAAAAGAGAAAACACTATGCAGGAATACATTTCATCTCAAGTTGATGTTGTATTTACAGTGAGATTAAGGATGTGATGGATTGGTGAGGGTACATTACTCCTCACACTAACTCCCTTCTCTCGCATTTGTCCTTATTTCGCCCCAGGACAATCAGAGGAGCTCGGACAGTGCACAACGTCCAATGGATATACCTGAAGACGCAACAGCTTCTCCATCATCCTCCCCGACCAGCTCCACGGTTTCCCCGCAGGACACCGCTCTCTGAGACATGAATCCGCGTTAATATCTCCCACCCAACTCACAGCAACACTATGGTTAAAGTGTATGTCGAGATTAATCTCTGTCACATTATCCGCCTTTCCACCCACCGCCCATCTTCCTCAGGAAGTCAGCCGTCAAAACAAGAAAGCGTCCCTCTCTCGGCTCTCTGGGGGCCGTCAATATTTGTGAAGAGACACTGAGCGAAAGTAGCCGATACAGTGTTCTCCTGTCATTCATAAGCCTGGAGGCGAGTTGTGTCAATTTACCGGCACCTCTCCATTCACAGTACAGCAGTACGGTGGTAGGGATGTGCACTATTTCCTTATGATCACCGCTCCATGCGCTTCACCTCTCCTCTGAGCTCCGTGGCCCCCTCACCCTGCGCCGGACCCCGCTCCAAACACCCCCCCAGCCTGCCATGCTCCTCCAGGCCGTGTTTCTGCTGCTGCTGCACTGCTTGGCCTTCACCCTGGGCCAGTACGAACTGTGCAAGTCCCTGGTGAGCACGGATGAGGGCTCGGTGTGGGAGCATTACGCGTGTCAGCCGAAAACCGCGTCCATGAAAGACTACATGCGGATCAAAGTGGATCCGCCCGGAATCACATGTGGGAACCCACCCGAGAGGTTCTGCACTCTGGTGAGTCAATGTCGGGACTTTTATATCTGTATTAACAACTTAAAGATATATAGAGTGATCCACAATAGAAATATACTGAAAATACTCAATTCTAAGTGCAAAAAGTTGAAAACATTTTTGCAACAGATCCCAGGGTCATGCAGTTAAGCTGAATAGTGATAACAGTGAAAAGTAATGACACACAAAAAAAAGGTCTAATTAAAGTCAGAACAGGATTCACACTATAAAAGCTTTAGGGATCTAAAAGGGATGACACAAGTGCAATGACTTGGCGTTGCTCGACCTCCCTCAGAGAGGTCCGGAGGTGTTGTTTACATTAGTATGGACTTGGCAGCCAGGGATCCGGTTTGATTTGGGCTTCCAGAGGACTTCACATTTCCCCTGGTAAAATGCATATAGCGGGACCTTTTTAGTTCCAAGGACACTGAAGGGTGAGCTGGAGGAAAACTCGTTAAAATGTCTGCTACAGCAATATTTAACACACTTTAGCCTGCAGGCTAGTTCCCATCCCGGCTAATGTAAGTGTAATAATTTGAAATAAGGGTTATAAAATCATTGTAATCCTAAGAAGACTGCAATTAAGCTTGCCCCTGCCTCTTCAGTGGAAGTTTTATATTTGACTCATAACATTTGACTCCCTGTGTGTGTGTGTGTGTATGTGTGTATGAGAGAGACAGCAAGTTCGTCCTCTTGATGATTGCCCCACTGCCATTGAGTGTCCACTCATTGAGTTGGCCAGCATTGAAGGTGCCAGACCTGTCTCAACAGCCATGAGTCAAAGTCTCACAAAAAGTGTTTCTAGAGAGAGTGTCTACATCACATTATACAATCATGTCATGTCGTTAATTAGGTGTTTGTGTTCTGTGTGAGTGGAGATTTGTTACCTTAAGACAGATTTTTACAAACCACCCTCCACCCAAGTCTCCCTCTCTTCCTCTCACTGATACTAATAACAGTACTTGGGATCATTTAACAGGAGCAGGAAAGGATATTGTGCTCCTTGGATACCTAATGGTTAATGATTTGTAGAAGTAGCGGAAACCACTGTCGTCTTGAGAAAGCCTCTCCGATGACTTCTATTGAGATGGGAGACGGACAGAGGCAAGGGAGAGGGGGGAGGGAAGTGAAGAGAGATGCTCACTGCCATAACGTATTGACGTCTGCCCCCTAATGGTCCTGGCCTGGAAACTTCTATAACTATGTTTCTGAGTGAGCAATGATGAAATATTGATGGGCTCCTTAATGGGCTTCCTTACAAGGGTTAGCTAGCGTTGCTCCATCCCATGGATCCAGAGTGTGCTGCTAGGCTGATGAGAGAGGGGTAGAGGGCGGGACAGGAAGGAGCCTCGTCTTAGTCAGCACTTTTACATCGGACAGGGTCTTTATAGTGGAAAGTTCTGGTTCTTCTCAGGTCATCTGTGGCTGTGGGGATTGTACCAGGCCCCCTAGTGCACTAGCTGGGGGATTTAGAGACTGAAGAAGCTGCGAGATGAAAGTTTACTTTAGAAGTGAGGGATGTCAGACTCAAATTCCTACATAATGAGAGAGCAGAGTTGGTTTAATACTGTAACTAGATAATTATTTTACTAATTTAGGGTCCTTTGTAAAAAAAAAAAGAGCTTATCCAGCATGTAATAATCCATATTTTGCATTTATTTAAATGTAAATCTCATTTGGGGTTAAGAATCACTGAGCACCTACACATGTCCTACTCCTAACAGAGTTTGAATCCATCTGTACACGCTTCAGCAAGGAATCAAGGCCATTACAATCTTCACCGTCTATCTTTTGGACCCGCCAACGGAGTATTAGTTGAGGGTTATTGGTATACAGATCATTTATTTTCAGGCAAGCAGCATTTTTTCCCTCTTCCTCTTGCCCCCAGATTTGGCAGCTTTACAGAAAATCCAGTTTCTTATCTAATTGGTGTACATTTACATTCACTCATTCAGCAATCCCACAAGTCAAGAGAAAGTCAGGGCACTGAAAAAAAAAGAGAGAGACTGCATCACCCAGTGCGCAGAGCTGCTCATCCTTAATAAGACTTGAGACATACTGCGGAAGATGCAAAATATATTTTTTCCCCCTTCTCTCTCCCTATGAGTGCTACAGTGTGTTCCTAAAAACTATGGTAGAATTCACTTTTTGTGGGGGGGTTGATGTTGAGGCATACTGTAGCTTTTCCTGCTTGCATTGGTTTACAGTAGTTTTTGGTCCCACCATCTCCACAGGGATGCATTTTTTCCAATCTATTTATCTCTCTTGTTTTCTGGGAATGCAGCATCCTTTTTCCTCAGCCAAACAGGCCAGCATGTTGGCTTCTTTCAACATGACGGGCTTCCAGCACTTTGACAAAGATGCTACTGTCACTAATGCTGTGTTAGGATCTTCAGTAGTTTCTTTGTAGTTTCTCCGTATGATAGCTAGTATGGAGTCTTAGCTTGCAGTTGAGGATGATGGAGTAAGGAGGTTTGAGGGGGGTGAGGCAGTGTGTTGCAGTGGGGGATAGCTAATGATGAGGGAGAGGTGAGGAAGATCCAAGCTTAGCTAAGCAGAAAGATGAAATCAGACCACAGTTCCACAGTAGTACTCACAGTGTCGATATAAAAATGCTGCATTCAAAAAGGTCTCGCTGTGCTGTTGTTTGTTATTTAGTTTTTTGGTTTTGAACCGAAACCTTCAATCAACCATCTCTCTTGGGGCGGAGAACAGAGAGCAGCCGAATGCAAATGGGATGTGTGCAGGAATGTACAGTACAGAGTGCGGTGACGTTAACGGGGACCAGCAGGGGTGTGTGAAACATGTGCACGAGTTGGCTGACAGTGCACGGTAGTATGTCTAAGAAAGACAAAAAAAACCCACAAAAAAAAAAACCACACCTTCCTGTTCCACAACACATTTGCCCGTTTTAGAAGGTAGAAATCAGCCAGCTCTAAAAATAGACATGAGAAGAGAGAGAAGCCGCGCAGCAGCGGAAGGGGTGCATGCAGGAAGGGGAGGAAGATGGCAGCTGGTAGCGTGGATCAGTGCTTCCCAGACTGGGCCTATGGCCATACTTCATACCCCCTGCCCAGTGTAGCCCTGCCAGGCCCGGCTGGCCTGCCCTGCCCAGCAGTGGGCCATCAAGGCCATGCAAAAGGGCCACCCACAACCAGCAGTGGGCCATCCCTGATGCATCTCCCTGGGGTAAAAGCTAGCCCAGGTGGCCAGTGTACTAATAATACACCCTTGGAGGTGAATTTGGGCTTAGCATGAGCAGGCCTGACAGTGCGGGGCATAATTAACGAACTGGAACAGAGAGAAAGAAACAGACAGCTAGAGAGAGCGACAGCAAGAGTGGCTGTATGAACAAGAGAGGTGGGGGAGGGTGTAGTGATGTAATGGCATGGCTTGCTTCCCCATTAGGACACAGTTGAAAGTGATCAGAGTGTGTTTAGATGTGTTGGCAGAGCGAGGGGATAGTTATAAGTGAGATTTATCTCTCACTGAGGTGATACTAAGAAGGATTGGCCGCAGGGGCTTAGACAGCCCGAGGTGGACTTAGCAAGCCGCCTCGTCTCCCCGAGCAGGATTTCAGGACTGACGGCTGTTTGGAGACGAGACACCATATGTATAAAAACTACAGAGGCTGTGTGAAATTTGTACAACTTGGTTGTTATTATCATATTTGTGTCCCTAAACATGTTTACTTCCCACCTCGGCTGTAGAGATTTGGTAAATACAGACAAGGACAAGGAGCGTGAGCCTCTTCACTGTCCAACAAAACGTCAATGCAACAGAATCCATCTTGAAAATACAGACAAAAAGAAGTCCCCAGGAAATGCCCATAGACTAGTTTTTGAGATTATTTGAGTTGTTTTGAAAATTGGAATATTTTCGGGAGGAGATGGCAAATGCATTATTGAAATGTGGACTGTAACAACAACAATCTTAATTGGGGGCAACGACCTACAGCCATCCAGTGTCCTACAGCCCTGCAAAAACCCTAAAATCAACAGAAATTCTGAAATAATGCAAGGATGTATTAGGGGATGCTTTGGGTTTAGACTCAAATACACGTGTTAGATTTCTGATGATATGAAACTTTCTGAAAAATCTGCAGACACACTCATTTCCCCAATTAACATTGTTCTTCCTAACCATCTGTACAGAGGTGATGGGTGAAATGTTATCATAACCAATGGAGAAAAACAGGATAACACCCAGGCTCACAAATTCTATAATTTCCCATTAACATCTGTAACACCTCAATTAATTGGTTTTGCACATCGAAGTCTGTTTACAGATGTTGGGGAGTACTACTGCATTTGTGAAAAACTATGTATAAAGTCTCCAGAGGGATATGCATAAGGTCTTACAAATGGCCTCAAGTGACAGTCGGCAACTGAAAGAAATCCAGGAGTGTTAACAGACCGACCGTAACCCGCTTGTCATCTCTGCCTGAGGGTCGCGGCTTGAGACTACATTAGCCGCTACTAGCATAACACACACAACTCTTCAATTGAATTGTTGGCAGACTAGTTGCATTGTGGGTAATGTAGGCAACATATATGGTTTTGCTGCATCGATCTCGATCCTTTTTTTGAAACTGTCAAGAGGCTGACTATGTTATAGGAGGGCAATGCTACTACTTTAAGAAATGCAGAAAGTACAAAATGATATAAAAATCTCCGTTGCACAATCCACATCTCAGTTGTCTCAAAGTTTTAAATTCTTTTCCAGCTCGTCTGCTTCTCTTTAGCTACATCTCCTCCTTTGTGATTGGTTTAGATTTAATAATGGGCATCAATAAAGATAATAGCTTTTACCTGAATTCACCTCATCAGTGCACTTCAAGAAAACTCTTCTCTACTCATATTCTGTTCTTTCAGTGCACTGTATCTGCTGTAAGTATTGAAGTACTGAATTCTAAGAGTTCCCAATATAACTCGTCCTGGTCCGACTGTGGTGATCTGAGCGGGACGAGCCTTGCTGCTGCTTTGGAGCAGCATGGTGTCTCT